TTCGGTGCTTTCATGCATAAAAACAGACCCTGTCTCGTCAAATAGTTCTCTTCTACTGTAACACACAGTCGCCGTCTGAGTACAGCCTGTCCACATAACCTACGCTATTTTCGGCTTTTTATGTATTCCACGTTGCGTTGTCGATTTACTTTTCCCCTCGGCTCATATATCCGCCTTTTTCTTAGTCCATACATGACCGCGGCTAAACGAAGCAAACATTCTGGCGACAACGGTTCGAACGGCAAAACCTCTACCATCAAGGTCTGCTTGCCTTCCCATTTAAATCCTTTTGTGGATATAAGATTTTTTATACTTCACGTTTCCGACATTTCCAATTTACTAGACCCTTGTGTTTCTTCTTTCATGTCTCTTTCCGTTATTAACGACCCTCTTCCCTCCTCCTTCTACCTGATTCGCAATGTCACAATCTTTTTTTGTCCGCGCTTTCGGTTTCCATCTTCTTTCACTTCCTCCTTCTTTCTTTTTCTTTTTTCTTATGCACTGCGACCGTAATACTGACGAGGTACAGTAGCAGCATTGATTTAAGAAGTATATGACTTATTGGACCGAAAAGTCTTATCTAGCACTCGCTTTCCTTAATCTACACCATTACTTTCTCCTAATTCCTTCGAACTTTGTCATTTGTACTTCCAGGGTTAACCTGGATGCTTACATACTGTAATAGAACACGTAGGGGATTAGAAGTGTTACTCAAGCCTTAATTTATCTCAATGATTTCTTCAGATGAAAGTTTCGGAAGAGATGAGTGATAAGCTGGGTGTTGTAGTCGAAGATAAATGTCACCAGTGCAAACATCTGCCATCCGGTCTTGAAAGCGCAACCAGCGTATTATGCAGAACAAAGGCATACGCACTCGCAGGCCTAGAAGATGATGTTTGCACCTATGTAAATGACGTTCCTGCGCTTACTATATAGCCTAGCTTTCCTAATCACTTACATACACTTAATCAAATTCTTCAGCGATTCCGCCAATTTAATTTCATTTTTGCTAGAAAATCTATCAGCTTTCTCGGACATACCATTTACAAAGGTGGTTATACCCCTAGACTAGCAAAAACGTCGTTTTGTACTAGGTTTTCTTAAAATCTCTGTGCCGCTCACACAAATAACCGAAAAAGACTGCCGCTTTCAGTGGACGGAAACGCAGCAGATTTCCTTTGAGGATGTCAAAAGATTACTGACATAGGAGCCTATACTATGACATTCCGACTACGATAAGTCATTTCGTATTTTTACAGACAGCTCAGCGGGCGCGTAAGCCGCGACCTTGATGCAACAGGCTAAAATATAAGAATGCCTACTATGTCGTCTCGCACTGCTACCGAGCTTTTCGGGAAGAGAGAGGCGCCCGCCAGCAATTGAAGCGGAATTACGCACTGTTGTACGTGCGCTCCGGACTTTCAGGCTTTATATTTCATGCTAGAATGTGTGTTTTGCGCCGACTATAAATCGCTAACGTATGTCTTAAAGAAAACTG